AGGCTGATTAAAATGTTTATAGAGAAATTTGTTGTTATGAGGATTATTAACATTAGACCGATGGTCATTTATTCTTAAAATAAGTCTTTGTCGAGTTTCCCCGACATATATATATATACATTGCCCGAATTATAAACCAGAGAAACTTTGGATTCCATTGATACCTAGTTTTATACAATTATCTTCATTAACAAAACCACCACTTAGGGTTCACTTATGCATGGTACCTAATGATATGACGTCATGTGGTTTAGTTTCAGACATATTATTAAACATTAACATTGCCATTTGGCTGTTTGAAGACGAAATAATTTGCGGTCGACATACCTGGACGGCCTGCTACAGACAACAGAAATAGGCTTGTTACACACCATGTTGTAGATAATTTCATTTAAATTTACGACATAACAAGTTTCAGTTGGATAGACAACCGCAGAATCGAAATATTACGGACGACCGGGTGACATTTCTAAAATACGAGTTAGGTACCTTGTGTTATATTAAAGTATATAGGTTATTTTTTTTTCAGAAACAAGTGACCTCATCATTCGTTATCATTTAAAGGATCATATGACTTTAACTTATTATTCGTCAACCACAGTCCAGTAAAACTATCTTGCAAACAGTTGTTGTTTTACTGCATTCTTTATTTCTTAGTAAGTAAGAAATTGTCAAATATTAATAAACCTTCTAGTGCTTCTTTCATTTCTAGGAGTTACATAAATATTTCGATTTACTTTGACATTACGGACAAAGTTGGGTTTTTTTTCTTGAAAAACAAATGGCACTATAAACCCGTTACTTCATTTCATTTGAATATCCCAGGTTTGGTTTCATCTCATTTAACAGTGTCATGATGCTCGTCTTCATTGCATTCTCCGAGATCTATATGTTCTATTGTGTCATCAGGATCATTTACATGATACGAAACGGATTCTAGAAATAAATAGTATATTCATTCATACAAACTGAAATGCCGTTTTACAACAAGTTAATTAAACAAATTTAATGGAAGCGTTAAAAAGACAAGAAGAAGAAAGTCTAACAACTTTCTTTAACTCATATGGCAAAATTTGGGGTAATTTGCTAATTTGCATAGCGGCCATTTTGCCTTATCATGACGACAGCCATTACAATAGGATTATATAAGCCCTTTTAATAAAAATGCCAATATGCAAATACCTATGTCGAATCGGAACAATTTGTTCGCATATAGGTGAATTGTTCATGTTTTTAGGCTTCTGTCCGTGTACAAATGGACATTGTCTACTCTGAAATCTTTCGGCCTTTTTAGTTTAAAAATCGGAAGCGTAACCATTGTGTAATTGTTATATAAGATCAAATACAATGACGTAAAATCGTAAAATAGCAAGATTCAAAACAGAAATACACATGCAAGAAGATATTGTTCATGATTTGTTCGCATATAGGGAAACACCTTGTAGGTTGAATTTTAAAGTAAAATAACTTTTAACTTACCTGCTTTCTTAAGTTTTCGGCCAAATTCTTTTAAAAACATGATGATTTCAACCTTCCCATTTCGTAAAAAGTCAAATTTTAAGCATTTTCCCTTAGAATTACACAGCATTTTTGTAAATATCCGCCAAAGGAAGTTTTTAAATAAACATTAGTTTTAGATACATGACGGAAAAGGACTGAATTATCCGCAAATCTATAATAAATTATATTTTCAATCTTAAGCTAAGGGAAGTAATTTGATCAAAAGGGACAAAGTCACGTGGTGCAAATGATTTAAATAAAGTACCTTTGATTTTGCCATATGTTCCCTCTCAGATGAATTGATGATGACATGTCACTCAATAATCTTTTTTCAATGAGTAGTTATATCTCTTTTACCAGTGTAAACTTAATATTAAACTTTAAAATAGGATCTATGACAAAATCCATGATTTCAAGTTTTTCTAATGTCAACTTCTTATTCTTGAGTATTGATATACTATCCGACATAGAATATGACGTTTACGCATCACAGTTGATACGATATACTAGAACTTTTTCTCACTTTGACAAATTTCGACCTAATTTTTAAACTTTAATACTATTTGCAGCAAGTTTGCTTGAAAGAACGACTGAGATTGTCATTTAAAAAGTTGTATGGTAACTGTCGTTTACTGATCAATACATCATTGCAGTGTCCTGACTTTTGACATTAACTTTGTCATAAACCCCTAATGTCCAAGTATGTCACTTTCTTCTTTTATCAAACCGTAATGTGAATGTTATATAAGGTACTCTAAACAAAGACTATATATCCTTTACGTAGCCCCAACTAATATATTAAACGTTTGTCATACTCATCAATTGATGCGTGTAAAAACTTATCTGTCAGTTATAGTGCACGCATTTTAACTTACTTTTTGATTTTCGACAAGAAAGCTTCAATAAGATGTGTAAGTAACCGTTCTTGAAATCTGGAAACCTGAATGCATATATGACTGGATTGCATGCACTGCTTGAAAATCCAAAACAATAAGCCTGAAATATAATTCGTATTATTTATAAAAGTAAACTTGTTTATATATAATTACCTGCTTAGGCAAAATAGCGTCTATAATGGTTTTTCTTACACAGTTAATTACACAGTTAACACTATAAATGATAAATTTATATTATAATGTATAGTATTGGAATTGGTTTTATCGGCACTTTGTACATTTTTTCCTTTTTTACTGCCTAATATTTGTTAAGATCATGGACAGGACTTGATACTCGAAAATATTAGGCAATGACGTCACGTTTTAGTGTAGCAACGTAGCGTGTTCATGTTCATCCGCGTCTATTTTTCAAAGAAATGCACGCGACTTTATTCATACAATCGAACAACTATCACAACGTTTTGTACGCGTAAAAGTAGTTTTACTAGCTAATTCATATTCTCAACCATAAAAACAATTTTGTAAATACAAAATGCCGATAAAAAGAATAATTTTATTTTTTTATACTGACTTCATCATCTCGAATATCAGTTCGCCCTAGCGGGCTCGATTGGTATTCTTGCTGATAAAGTCAATATAATAACCAAAAATGCCATTATTCTATATTTATCAACGGTTTTATCGTTGTTATTGATCTTTTGCGTGACTTAATTGTATTATTTTAGAAAATTTGTTCTCGCCGTGGCGATACTTTATAGTCGCTGGGTGCGGATGCGCCGTGAAATCCCCACCGACAAGTCAATCAATCCATCCATCCATCAATCAATCAATCAATCTATCAAACATTCAATCAAGCAATTATAAATCATTTAAAATCATCGAAGCAACAGAAAAATCACCAAACGGCAACTTTGACTAATACAGTCCCAACATTAGAGTTAGAATAATTATACACTTCATAAACTGATAACTGATAATCACAATGTCTCAATAACACCAGGTCAGTACATAACCATGGTTACAAGGCAGACTGGTAGTCTTTCAACAGCATCACCAATTATGTACAATGAAAGAGATAGCGGACAAATTTCCCCAATATTGTTTTTTTTACAGGGTCAAAATATCAAAATGGTCCAATCGTACTGGAAATGGAATGTATTTGTTTCGTTCACACATTGATGTCAATATAATTGAATTTTATGCGACTGTCATACAAGTGAGAGGTTAAGCTAACTATAAAACCAGGTTTAATCAACCATTTTCTTCATAAGGAAATGCCTGTACCAAGTCAGGAATGTGAGAGTTGTTTTCCATTCGTTTGATGTGTTTGAACTTTTGATTTTTTCATTTGATGAGGGATTTTGCGTTTTGAAATTTCCTTGGAGTTTGGCATTTTTGTTATTTTACATTTTAATAATTTCTACCATACACTTAAAATATATTTTGAATATCTTAACATATTTTCATAAAATCACAATACTACATGTTGATTTTGAAGAATCGATAAGCTATTCGGATCATAAAGGAAAATAGATCTACCATAGAACTAAATTAAAGCTACCTTAAGTTCAGGAGTTGCAGGGATGGGTGTCAACCCCCTTTTATAAATAGATATGGTTAAGTTAAATATATTGCTTTGGGAACTCCCCATAGTATTCAGTTCAATAATTTTACTTACCAAAGGATTTATGAAAGCTGGAATTGTCTTTCTGTCAATTGTGAAGAATATGAAGTTTGTATAGAACATGTATGGAAGCCAACATATAATAAAACAACTTAATACGATTACTAAGGTATGAATGACAGCCTTTTCATTTACAACATTTGGATCAGAACGGCTCCTTATCTTTGAGTCTAAATTTGTTGACTTGCGTCGAAACACTGCATCCGCCTTTATTATAAAGTATATCCTCGAATACATAATTATCATAATAATGAGAGGTATCACAAAGTTCAACATTAAATTTCCAAAAGATAGTGCAAATGATTTAATATTAAAAATCGGGTACTTTGGTCCACATTGTATAGTTTTAGCTTTGTATACTGCTGCGCTCAGGTACAAAGTAGTGAGGAGAGCAAAAACAATCCCCCATCCCCATGACGCTAAAATCATCGTATAACAGGCGCATTTACCAACTGGAAGTGTATTACATTCGGATAAACGCTTAACGGATAAGTATTTATGGATACTTATATACATCAAACTGTGGACGGATGTGAACAAAAATGTAGCGTTCAGAAAAAGGTTTACATTGCACAGGAAATCTCCCAAATCCCAATGTTCTTGTGTGAGTGTGTAGAGAGACACAGGAGCATCCAATATCCCAGTCATAACATCAGACAATGCAAGATTAAACAAGAACAAATTGGTACTGTTGTGCACGTGGCGCATTTTGCTATCCAACAGAATCACTAACATTACAAGAATGTTTCCTATTATAGAACACAAAATTATCATGATCAACCAAACAGCGAAAAAACTCGTAAGAGCTGGGCCATAATAATCACCCATGTCAGTCATATTGGTTCTATTTAATACTGTAGTTGTGTTCATTAAAAGCACCATTGTATCAACACGCTGAAACAATCACATCTGAAACGAAATAATTCACATATAATTGTAAAACAACTTATGATACATATTTCTTTCCGCATAATGTTAAACATTAAAACTAGAATCACCTTGAAATGTATTCCAATCCAACATTTCCTTCAACTCCTATTAAATTTGTTCTTTTATCTGTTTTGAGTAAAGCGACATTGATTGGTCTTATGCAGACGAAATGAGCGTCGTCTTACCAAATTATAAGCCTGGCATCTTTGATGAAATGTACATAACAGTGTCAGGACCAGTAACAACAGTTTTACTAAACAATTGCAAAATTTACATGAGCTTGACATTCTTTGTTGTAGCACTGCAGTCGAAATTTAGTGGTAAAATATCATCGCCCTTGGAAACAATGACAATGGATCTCTTCACTGTTTGACACGTTCTTTTCAAGTAGGATATTGATAAGTTCACAATACCCCGAAACGTTCTGACAAAAAGAAATAATTAAACAACATGAAATGAAAAGAGAGTTAGCATATAATGTTATCATTTACATCTTAAATGATCGAGTGACTTGAACAATAGGCTATTCGAGTTTTGAGTATAAATGATCAAAATAGTGCTATGGGAACACGTGCGAAACTCACTTTATTTTCCTGTTGACTGTATACTATCTTATTATATTCAAAGATAAAAATGAACCGGTCATTTCATAATGCTACACCTGTATTACAGACCTTAACCCTCAGGGATGAAAATCCCAATCTATCGATTCATCTTGTGCATCATCCCCATACAAATAAAGTTCCTTTGTCGGTGTCTCAAGTCACTAGAGACAGGTTTGTTTTCGCGGTCTTAGATCTTTAGATATCAGTACAGTTGTGATACACGCATAGCAGGAGACGCTTACCCTGTCGACGTACCCGGTCTTGTTTTTTTTTGGTTTTTTTTTTGAGTTATTGTGATTCCCTCAGTTTTTGTTTGTTATTTTGTTTTGTCTCTGCTTAATCGATTTACGAGATTTGAACATTGGTAAACAACTGACGCCTTAATGTATATGTATACAGCTAGACGTGCAAAGTTCAGGAACATTTATCAACAAAATCGATTGATATGCAGCAGATGTTAAACTTTTGAATTTAAGTCAATAGGAAAATTAATCTCACAAATATATATTATTAAAAATTGTTCAATCAAATCAAAAACTCTAATTATGTTATACTTTATTCCACTACAATTTATTTGACTATGTTTCTGATTATTCTGCTTATCCTGGTGCCGTGGTTAGTTAAATAAAATATGTTTGTCGTTATACACTATTTTCTCGTTATCAATGAAAATAAAACAATATGCATTTGCAAGTATATTTCAGCTGACATGGTTCAACCGTTTTTTCCAAAAAATGTACGTTTGTGGTTTCGAAACACCTTTTAATAATATCATAATGGCTACAGATGTAAACACACTTGATTTTGTTACATGTATCATACGAAGAGTTACCTTTCTATTATTTTTTTATACTTCACCAGTTTCCCCACAATATTGGCTTTATACTGAGCTGATGATACCTTTTTGTATATCTAACTAGGTTTTCCGGAGTGGAAAAAAGGCGCTGGGTGGGGTGGAGGGAATAGTTAGAAAAAAATGAAAACAACACGTTTTAAATTTAATGCGTCCGAAGCGATTTTCTGGATTGACCTTCATCGGGAACGCTCAAAGCCGAATATTTGAAAGCCAAGGATGTATAAATCCGAAATTGTTGAAGAGCTATATAATAAAAAATGACCTAAAATAATAGCCAAATCCTTCTAAGGCCAACTTTGCCTGACGGAGTTGAAACCTTAGTTTCTTTATAATTTCAAAATTTATAAACGGGCAAATTTAGAAAGGCTTGTTATTAATCATGGCAATACCGAAGTACTGACTACTAAGCTGATGATACCCTCGGCGACTGATAGTCCACCAGCAGAGGTATCGACCCAGTGCTGTAAAAAAAATGAAAACAACATGTTATAAAGTTTGGTGTTGAAAGCAGATCTTAAGATCTTTATTTAAGAAAATCTGTTCTACTGTGGGCAATTTAGAGTTAAAACATGATGTATAGACACCTGTTGAAGATCTACAAATTTATATTAATCCCAGATCAACAGGTATGCTACAACACCGCAGAGAATCCAAGATACAATGCAGATTATACAATATTCTCCGACATAATAATATTTATAAATCAGGGTTATACTTAATTCAAAATGATAACAATATTTCACCTGTACAATCCGTGACGATATAGAGTTTCTAAATAAGGCACGTTTCAACACACTGCAAACGTCATCGGCAGTGATCACGAGTCACACTGTCCATATACAGCTTTACTCTGGCCTCTTATAAGCATTCAGCGTCGAAGTAGGGATCCAGTTGTTGAATTTCGAGGGCCTTTTGAGCAACGCCTCGTTTCGTCTTCGTCTCAAGACTTTTCCAATTCGACTTACCATTGACTTGACTTTACTGAGTTAAAATTGGTAAAATTGGTAAAAGGATCCATGCAATCCAGAATTCGTAGCAAGACTGATTCGGGTTAGAGATACGAAGGTATCGTTCTTTTTGAATGCATAGCATAGCAAATTTAAGTACTCCATATCGTAACTTTCGTAATCATGCTTCGTCTATCCTCGTTACCGCGCGGGGTTAAATCTTGTTGAAACGTTGAAAACTTCCGTTGTAATTCTGTGTCAAAATTCCAAGAGAGAGGTTACAGATACCAATAGGACATTAAACTCAAAAGTCGAAAACAAACGGACAACGTCATGGCAAAAACTAAAAACAGAAAAAAAACAGTAGTTTACAAAACACAGCATAGAAAACTAAAGACTGAGCAACACGAATCACATCAAAAACCGGAGGTAATCCGCATGTACTCCGGAAGGTAAGCAGATCCGGCTCCAGATGTCGCTCTCGTCGTGTTGCTCATGTAAGTATCCAGTGATAAGTCTAATTCGGAAGGTCACACTAGAGGAAAAAAGGACGGGAATGTGACTACGACAACTTGGACATATCCGTTGTCATCTGTTAAACAGATATTTCATAACAGTTAACCAACTCGTGATGGCGTCAGTACAATATTGAAGGGATGATTTCAACTTCACCACTTGAAACTCTTAATTGGTTTAATAGCATCCTTGTGAGCAGTAACCCTCTATCAAGGAAATCATGATAGGAAATGCTAGCTCTGGAATATCGTATCAACTGGGAGATATATACTCCATATGCAGGCGCTAGAGGCTTGTTGCTACATAGAAATTGAAAGTTCACAATTGGGAAGCTGAAATCATTTGTCGTAAAGTTTTGTTCTCAATCGACCATCATTGTCAATTTCTAGATGTAAGGCAAGATATGAGACAGACTTAACCTTATATGTTGTATCCTTTATCTCAAGTTCAATGGGATTGATGCGTTCAACATAGTCACCAAACACGGAATTATTTATTGAGAGGACACCAAGACGATATGTGTTTGATATGGCTCTTCAGCGAATGAAGATTTTTGCTCGTTTTAGGTAACAAAGTGGTCAATATTTTCTCGTTCCAGCAGCTGTTGGGCGTCTTTGTCCCGGAAACTTTGTACCGTTATTAGGTTCTCAGTTTGATATGTTACTTTCCGGTGCGGAATTATGTCTTTGGGGCAGCTGTTGTTTCTTGTCCTCGAGTTGATCGGATAGGAAACGAAAGCACGAGACGGAAGAAAATATCAAAAGCCAGTTATAAATATGCATACCATTTAACAATTTCATCACGGCGGTATCGGCGAGCTATTTTGTAATTTTGGTTTATCCCAGTACTTGTTTTCCCTCTTTGTTCATCAGTAATCTTGATAAGTCATATTCTTACTGTTTCACCTTCAATTTTCAAAATAGGCATAGACATGCCTCGTTCATGTAACTCTACTTATTCTTTGCTAAGAATCTATCTTTTTGGTATTCAGTCAAATGTTCGCGGCTGTATGTTTTGTTGGTGGGTTGTTGTTTCTCAGTCTTGTGTAGATTTACATGGCATGTGATGAATACAGTTAGACGATTACCCGGTCTCGCTCCTTTTAGAGTTGAAACAATTCCCTCAGTTTTTGTTTGTTACCATCATTTGTCTCTTTTTAATCGCTTTGCAAGATTTCAATTGAACATAGGTAAGCTAATTAGCCTGCATTTACAGCAAGGAACAACTTAACATGACAGTGAAAGCCCAGTATGACTCGTGATAATTTTCGGTGACGTCAGCACATCTAATATCCTACTATTTATACCTAGGGCAATAAACGATACTTTTTGCAGCATCTTACTACTTTGCATTCATCAATAAATTTATGCTATCTCTATATTTTCGAAATAAAATATGATCATAATACCTATTTTGCACCGTAGTCGCCTTGTATGCCACTCAATTAGCACATTGATATTATACAATTATAGCCTTTGTAAGAGGTTGATACGACCAAGAGAAGCCTATTGACTGAGGACCTCAACCAAAGCCTACAATTGTTATATTATTAATCAATTGCAATGAACAATGTAATATTGGTGATTTCTATAATGTATTTTAGTAACTTGCTGTATGCCCTGTGCAATATGCTGTTTGACCTACGAAAAGCTAAACACAACAGTATTGGCGTGCAAACTGAGTAAATACAAATCTGCATGTGATCAAGTTTTAACGAATCACAAATCCTTGAAAATATTCGATTAATAATATAACGAAATAACGATGTTTTAACTGATTGGTCTCTTACATATTTTTTGTAAAAGAAAACAATATTTCTATGGATTTAACTGCCTCAAATATATACAACTGATGACGAGGGATGTCGAATTAACTAGAGGCTCAAAGGTGCCAGAATTATTCACCTGGCAAACATCCAATGTATTCATATTTATTTTCATTTTTTTGCCATCAATTTTTTTATTAGAGAAACGAATTATTCTATTTTCTAATCTATACAACTTTTTGACTGCACTCAAGTAAAATAACCGCTAAAAATGTAATAGACAGTTAGACACTGTTAAAGGCCAAAAGGATCAGCTATACAAGAACAATGTAAAAGCCTCTGTGATCGAATCTATTGGACCGCTTCTTTAGTTTTTTCTTACCCTTGAATGACGACTTTCCATGCTAATTTCCATGTGTTTGCTTATTATCTTAAAATCTACAATAAAAAAGTCGAAACTGTTAGCAGCAAAAATGATCAGCAACACAATTTCTTCAACCAAATCATCGGGTGACTCTTTACGAAATTATGGCCCTTAAATATCGACTTTTGACTAATTTTCATGTTTTTGCCTATATTATCTCGAAAATAACAATACATAGGTAGAAACTGTAAGCAAAAAATATATCTACCACATACTCCCCTGGCATCTAAAATGACGTCCACGTGATTTCAGACTCCACAACATAATATCTATGATATAGTATTTCTATGAGTTCATGAAAATACTTCCTTAAAGTAAAGTATTTACCATTGATGCACAATCATTTTGACTTATTCAAAAATACATTTTCTCTCAGATTCAAACTAAAGGAAAACTGTACAAATATTAAAGACTTAGAAATATTAGTAACTGACCTGATTAATATGGAATTAGTGTCCAGAATATGTAATAATATAATATTTTAATTATGGCTGCTGTATTCTATGATATATAGCTTTCTCTCTCAAGGTATTCAAATAGTGTGGTAAAACTTTGAACTCAATGACTATGACCAATAGAAGACAAGATAACTTGACACATGACTGAAAGACTAATGATCCAGAAAATAGAGTAGAACCACAGTACTAAGAAGATATAACATACCAAGAAAATAAGATTGCATAAGAGAATAGAAGAATTGATGAACTCTTAAAACACATATAATAAAACCACTAATTCATATTAATTATTCTGAAAGAAAATAAATCTCAATATAAAACACTCCATCACATAAACACTGCAAAAAGCAAACATAATCGGTAAAATACACTACAAAAATACCATTATATATGACATTATTTTTATCATTCCTATTGGTAAAGTATGCCATGTGGTTTAATAACGGTTCTCAAACATTTAAAAATCTAATTCACATTTATCCAATACAATTTTCATATTATACTTTAAATAATATATTCAGTTCAATTAATTCAATATTTTATTTATGTATCACCTTTTGTATAATACAAAAATATGGTTTGCTAACAGAAACAAAGATAACAAAACAAAAAAAACAACATTTTTTAAATTCAATGTATCCATGGTTGTCATTTGGTATATCGAGAAAAATTATCGTGAAAATATAACTAACGGTGGTCAAGCATTGCGATCGGATCGTGAATGCAATTAAGTGTAATTCTACTTCAAAATCTGTGAAAAATTTGCTGCATTTTCAAAATGAGAAAAAATAGAAAAAAGAAATATGTCTGTTAAAATGCTTCCTTAATGATAATGTGAACTATGTTAAAGAAAAAATGTAGTTTAAAGAACACAAAAGGCGACACACGATCCTATGAGAATCATTAAGAAAAAAATCACGTTTTGTATCTTTAATAGACACATTTCAATATATCATGATATAGTTGAAACTTAATCTTTAGTGTGTCAGATAGTGCAGTAAAATTAAAGTATGTTATTACTTGAAAAGGTTCAAATTATTTTTGAATAAAAGTATAATTTTGTTAATTTTTAATCAAAACTGATCATGAAAGATCAGATATACTTGTAATTGGTTGAAGCGTGTAATTATTTACAAAGAATTAATGCGTTCTCTTTTGTGTGTGGCATAAATATATAAAGAGTCTATCCTAAATTGAGGTAAATTATATGGCCTTCCAAATACCGTTTCGATTCCTAACATCACTGAAGAGACATTAATTGTCGAAATCCGGATATGGTGTACAAATTTTTGCACCTCATGTTTGCGGTATACCATCTTTTCCGCAAGTTTATTGTTTTCTGTTTGGCAATAAATTAATAATAAGATCTATTTTGTTACATCTTGTGATCCGTTTATTTGGCAATCGCCAATGGCAGTCAGCAGGGTTTAAGAACATCAGTTGTTCGACCTGCTAGTGAAATGCGTTTTGTTAAAATATACTTTTTCACTCATTTGATCTTTTGGAAAATGTTGTTTGTGCTGTATTTAGACCCCTCTACCAAGAAATTTGTTTTGCATGCACACGTATAAAAATTGCGGTTTTTATCCAACGCAATCATAGGTTTGAACGTTGTTTTCAATTTAGACTTGTTTATATTTTTTCGTATGGGCTTGTATTATATTTGCCTTCGGGTTTATATGATCCGTTCATCCTATTTTGACTCTTTCAAAATTCAAGAGTCTATCCTAAATTGAGGTAAATTATATGGCCTTCCAAATACCGTTTCGATTCCCAACATCACTGAAGAGACATTAATTGTCGAAATCCGGATATGGTGTACAAATTTTTGCACCTCATGTTTGCGGTATACCATCTTTTCCGCAAGTTTATTGTTTTCTGTTTGGTAATAAATTAATAATAAGATCTATTTTGTTACATCTTGTGATCCGTTTATTTGGCAATCGCCAATGGCAGTCAGCAGGTTTTAAGAACATCAGTTGTTCGACCTGCTAGTGAAATGCGTATTGTTAAAATATACTTATTCACTCATTTGATCTTTTGGAAAATGTTGTTTGTGCTGTATTTAGACCCCTCTACCAAGAAATTGGTTTTGCATGCACACGTATAAAAGTTGCGGTTTTTATCCAACGCAACTTTAGGTTTGAACGTTGTTTTCAATTTAGACTTGTTTATATTTTTTCGTTTGGGCTTGTATTATATTTGCCTTCGGGTTTATATGATCCGTTCATCCTATTTTGACTCTTTCAAAATTCAAGAGTCTATCCTAAATTGAGGTAAATTATATGGCCTTCCAAATACCGTTTCGATTCCTAACATCACTGAAGAGACATTAATTATCGAAATCCGGATATGGTGTACAAATTTGCACCTCATGATTGCGGTATACCATCTTTTCCGCAAGTTTATTGTTTTCTGTTTGGTAATAAATTAATAATAAGATCTATTTTGTTACATCTTGTGATCCGTTTATTTGGCAATCGCCAATGGCAGTCAGCAGGGTTTAAGAACATCAGTTGTTCGACCTGCTAGTGAAATGCGTTTTGTTAAAATATACTTTTTCACTCATTTGGTCTTTTGGAAAATGTTGTTGGTGCTGTATTTAGACCCCTATACCAAGAAATTTGTTATGCATGCACACGTATAAAAATTGCGGTTTTTATCCAACGCAATCATAGGTTTGAACGTTGTTTTCAATTTAGACTTGTAAACAATCTCCATTAACTCCACATGAGAAAGTCATCTCAAATGACAAGTTAACATAATCTAAATTAAATGAGCAACCCTGCCTTTTAAATATAAACCCAACTGCCTTGTACCTTCACAATTAAGATGTAAACCACCATCTTTATAAGCAAATAATATATATATATTGCATAACAATGTAATGTAAACCACCATCTTTATAAGCAAATAATATATATATATTGCATAACAATGTAATGTAAACCACCATCTTTATAAGCAAATAATATATATATATTGCATAACAATGTAATGTAAACCACCATCTTTATAAGCAAATAATATATATAAATTGCATAACAATGTAATTTTAACACACTATTCAGCATGTAAATATTAAAATGTAAAAAATATTTACAATGCGATATTTCGCTAGACAAACTAGCTTCTTCGAGTATGCATCTATCCAGGTGAAATCGAATGCAGATAAGAAACTTTTGCAGCTCAATGTACATGAATTTTGCTGCCTTGTAAATAACACTAAGTTTGGATGAAGTTCAAGATTATTTATTTAATTACAAAATTTGTGGTTGTAGTTTGCAACGTCCATTGGCCAATATTACAGAGATATAAAGGACGATATGCTGTATAATTAATTATTCTTTATCTTTCCTGTATCTTTTCTCGTCTTCTTCATTAAGCCCATCAGGTTCTAAAGTATTGAGCTGGTGGATCCAAAAGTTTTCTCTTCTCCTTCTCGCCGTGGTGTCCCATGTTTCTTTGAGCGAAGATGTCTTGTGAGGGGACAGTTTTTGTTGGTTTTGTACCATGATCGATGGTTATTTAGCCGAATATTAAATTTATCCATTGTTTCTCCAACGTACTGAATGCCACAGGTGTTCGTGTTAATACATAAATTGAGTTCTCCGTTTTACAGTTGGAATTTGTGTAGATGGTATAACTTTGTTTAGTATAGGAGCTGATGAAAGAACTGCTAGTATTGGCAGCTTTACAACATAAGCAATTCCTTCCTTTGATCACCGGTCTTTATACACAAAGGAAGAAACTGCCCAATCACGAGACTCCTCTAAAGAACAGGACATACTTTTGAAAATATCACATTTCAAATAATAGAACACCAAAATTTTTACCTGGATGGCTGCAAGCGCCTGATGAAGCTAATTTGTTTACCGAAATATTGCGTGAATATATAAAATATAACAACTATTTTTATAACACTCATTAGTGTGTTAAAGTTACATTCTTAGGCATTTATATAATTTAATTTAGTAACTGCATCAGTTTATTTACAAACTGATCCATGCCTAGAAAGATTGAATGTTGATAGTTGCTATTTTTAAACACTATATATATATTATTTATACGAATTATATAATATATATATAAACAAGTCTTAATTGAAAACAACGTTCAAACCTTTGATTGCGTTGGATAAAAACCGCAATTTTTATACGTGTGCATGCAAAACAAATTTCTTGGTAGAGGGTTTTAAATACAGCACAAACAACATTTTCCAAAAGTCCAAAAAAGTGAAAAAGTATATTTTCACAAAACGCATTTAACTAGCAAGTCGAACAACGGATGTTCTTAAACCCTGCTGACTGCCATGGCGATTGCCAAATAAACGGATCGACAGATGTAAGAAAATGGATATAAACAAGTCTAAATTGAAAACAACGTTCAAACCTATGATTGCGTTGGATAAAAACCGCAATTTTTATACTTGTGCATGGAAAACAAATTTCTTGGTAGAGGGGTTTAAATATTAAGACCTGGTTTCATTAAGAGGTAATGCTTATTAGGCATCCAAGATAATAAGACCTCCAAGAGCGTAAATTATCGAAAAGTAA